GGATCATGACCTGAGCTGAAAGCAGACACTTAACCAACTGAGCCACCCAGGAGCCCTAAACAATAATTTTCTTAATACCATCAATTCTCTCTTTTTTCCCCCTATGTCTTCATTTGTTTTATGCAGACTTTTTTCAACCGGACACAACAGATAATCCTTTCACTTTTTATGATTTCATGAAATTATATAGGGATTTTCCTTTTTTTCAGTGCATAACATCATGATTTAATATTTGTATATATTGCAAAATAATCACCACAATAAGTCCAGTTAATATCTGTCACCATACAGTTACAGATTGTTTTTCCTTGTGGTATCTTTTAAGATTTACTATCTTAGCAACTTTCAAATACCCAATACAGTATGATCCATGATCGTCACCATGCTGTACATCATATCCCCATGACTTCCTTATTTTAGAAGTGGAAGTTGTTACCTTTGACCCTTGTCCCATTTCACAACCCCTGCACCTCTGCCTCTAGCAATGATCAATCTATCTATTCTCTATCTATAAGCTTAGTCTTTTTTCTTAGACTCTACATATGAGATCATATGGTATTTATCTTTCCATTAATTCTCTTTTTGGACAGTACCTATTCATTCCTAACTATGAACAATTATAAATTAATACATACTTACTTTTCTTCCCCATTCAACTCTATTCTGTTACCTGATCACAGTACTATTCTTAATGTTTACCTTTGTATTGTTAAATGTTCTTTATCTCTACTTCTTGATTTGTCAGCTATCTTTTCATTTAAGTAAGGAAATGTGGAAAAGACAATTCAAATTTTTACCTACAGTAGCAAATAAAAGCAGAAATGCAGCTAGAGGAACCTGTAAGCAATTGCTCGGGGGAAGGGGGGTGACAGAACATAAATTTGGCTACCTCAGAAAACTGCATGAAAGATGGAGAAATAGGGATGTTCCCCACCCCCCAACCGGTACCTTCAGAGATCAAACTACTATGCCTTGTAGAATCAAAGGAGAGACCAGGCATAAAGAAAAATGGTCAAATGTTATGTAAGGATAATTTTTAACATCTCCTTTGGAGGTGGATTAGTTCTAACATCTCTCCCATCTGAAACTTTCCCGTTTTACTAATTCGTCTATAAACAGTCAGTGAGAACAAAAAAGAATACACACCTCTCCCTCTTCTGACATTAGAGAAGTCCCCATTTTCTCCACCCTGTCTCTCACGGTGTGGTGCTCCGCTGTTACTCCGGCCATCTTCCCCTCCATGCTTTACTTCACCTTTTCCTTCAATGGCTACCACCTGCAGTTCCCCAATGTTGCCATTTCCAGGAGATCCTTCTTCAGGAAAAGCAGAATTTTCCAAGGGCTGATTGGGATCACCATGCAGGTAATATCGAAATGGTCCGTTGTTTGATGTAAAGCTGTCTAAAGACTACAAATTTAAAACAATACTTAGTTAAAAACTATAAACATAAGTTTTTACGATAATAGAATTACTGTTCTTATAAAACTTTTTTCATGTTATGATAGGAAATATTTTTCTAAAAAGGTATTCATCTACTGCTTCCTATGTGTCGGGAAGAAACGGGATAGAAATGATTTATCCGTGAGCAAAGACTTGAGTAGTTTTGACAATGAATCGTTCTCATGGGTCAGTCATTCATCCAAGAGATTTTTTAAAAAATGTCTAATTTTGGGAACACCTGAGTGGCTCAGACGGTTAAAAATGTCTACTCTTATTCTAGTTACTATGCTAAACTCTAAGGATAAGATGAAGAAAGAGTTAAAAATCTCTGTGTGCAAGAGGCTTCTTAGTCTTGGTAAGGGAGTGAAAGAAGTTAAGATCACTACAACATAGTTTGATAAGTGTTATGAAAAAGATAGACAATGGGCGCTCGCTACAGGAACTCACGCGAGGGGCGCCGTACTGGGGCTGAGTGGAGGCTTCCTAGACGAAATGATATGAACTAAGTAACTTGGCCATAAAAAAGGAATGAAATTTGGCCATTCTCAACAACACGGATGGACCTAGAGGGTATTAGGCTAAGTGAAATAAGTCAGACAGAGAAAGACAAATACTGTACGATTTCACTTATGTGTGGAATCTGAAAAGCAAACAAAAGCCAACAACTCTTAAATACAGAAAACTAACTGGTGGTTGCTAGAGGGGAGGTGGATGTGGCAGGGATGGGTGAAATAGATAAAGGGGATTAACAGCTACAAACTTCCACCTGTAAAATAAATAAGTCTCAGAGGTGGAAAGTATAGCATAAGAAATACAGTCAACAATATTGTAATAAGAGTTGTATGGTAACTACACTTATCGTGGTGAGCACCGAAGAGGTAATGTACAGAATCATTGAATCAACATGTTATACACCTAAAACTAATACAATATTGTATGTTAATTATACTTTAAAAAAAACAGTGTGAAGAACAGATTTATTTGAAAATTATTCACTTTTCTTGACTGTCAATGTTTCAAACATAGGGACTAGCTTTAAGAGTTTACCGTCTGTCTCCCCATCCCACCTCCCTCATAATATTTACAAATATAAATATATGATA